TTACATATTTTATCCAGCACTCATAATTACTATCTCCTGGAGGGTTAGTCTGATACAAACTATTCTGCCATTATCAGAATCAGAGCCAAAACAAGATCTTTTCAACCCATACTTTGCATGTATCACATTCGTTCTATTCAACAAAATGTAAGTTTGAATGATGCTGTGAGAATGTACTTTATTATCAATTCACTAGCAACCATTGAGTCTATTTAAATGATTTCTCATTTAATGTCCATGTTTCTCTCTCCTAGAACATATTTAAGTTACTCTTCTCTTTAACAGCCTTGACATTTTCTTGGCTTAGCATTCAAGGTATTTAGCAACTGATAACTGATACTTTTCTAGTATGACCGTTTAGTTCTCTGACTTCCTCACCTTTTTTGTCCCCAGAACCCAAGCATTATGATCTCACTATTCCTTAAGATCTACTGTGTTTTTGTCATGTCTCTGTGTCTTTAATCACACTACTCTCTAGCCTTTTTCACAATTCATACGTTCTTGTGAATCATAGTGAATTCTTACTTTAAGTTTCTACTTGAATACCTTTCTCCTTGAAACCTCTTGAACATTCATCAGTGTAGCAGTAATTTCTGCAGCTATTGTTTGGTATCATATACAATATTAAAGGTAGTTTCAAACTTCAATCTTCCTGAACATGTCTCTTCTTCCTGAATCTTATTTTTATAAAATATCCTCACTTTGGGTGGTTCAAATCCACCTGCTGTTCCATGGGAGAAAAATGGGAGATCTTCTTCTGTGTGGTTTGTTGTTGTTGTTGTTGTTGTTGTTATGTGCCATCGAGTCACCTGCAACTCACAGCGGCCCTATGGACAAAAGCTGTGAAGCCTGCCCTGTCCTGAGCCAGTCTCACTGACTCTAGAACACCTACTCCCATTACTCCATTTATTATATCAATCCATCTCATCTGAGGACGTCCTCTCCTACACTGTCCCTCCACCCTTCTGAGCATGATGTCCTTCTCCAAGGACCAGTTCCTCCTGGCTATGTACTCAAAGCATGTGAGACAGAGTGTCAAAATCCTAACCTTCAAGGAAAGGAAAAACTTGGTTTCTATCTTCTACAAGATAGACCTTGTTTTCTTGGTAAGTTTCTTAACAAACTTATTTGTTGCTGTGAACTTCACTGCTGCTGAAAACCTGCTGGGGGGTCAGCTATGAGTGGGTTCTGATTTGACAGCACACAAATTACAGTAACAACAACAGATTCATTTAGGCCATCCATATTCCTTTCTCTCTCCCCTCTTCCCCATTTCATTATCTCTGAGAAAGAAATGGGGAGGCAAGGAAAGAGAAGTAGCCTAGTGATTAAGGAGCTGTACTTCAACTTCAAGGCAGCTTGTTCAGAGCTACCAGCTTCTCTGTGAAAGAAAGAAGCATCGCCTGCTAGAGGGTCAGCTGTGGGTTGGTCCTAACATAATTCAGCTTGGACATGGTTCACATGTCTTAGAGTATTTTCTCCTTTCCCTTACTCATTCTTATTTCTGAACTAAGTCCTATGGTATAATTTCTCAATTTCCAGGAGCATTCTTTATGAAATTAAAAATCTACTGTGATTAATTTATTGCTAATTAGTGTGTTATAGATAATTTGTACTTAAGGAAGAGGCAAGGTCCATACAGAAAGTTAATGGAGGTGGATCCTGAAAATGTTGGAATTTGGTAGAAATAAAAAATGTATGCTAAAACAGCAGTATAATGTAAGAGGGGAAGAGATTGGGCACCCGCTTGACTTGTCTAAGGGAATCAGTGAGTACAGAGCATAGAATCTAGGATGTTTCTTTATATTAAAACCAGACTCAGAAAAGCCACCATGATCCCTGTTAGTCTACAGGATGTTAAAACTTCTCATTCACACTAAAACATATATTTTAAGTGAGTAAGTAAATGGAAGATGGCTATTTGCTTTGGCTAGAGGTGCAAAGTAAGTTATGACAGTAAAATGAGATCTCAAATGTTAATCACCTGTGGCATAGTAGTTAACTATTGAAATGTTTCTTGCATCTGACATTCTCCACAAACCTGTCTGCTTTTATGTGTATGCATGCAAGTACATAAATTGCTGAATCCATGTCAGTTGTAAAGTAATGGCACTGAGGGCATCATAAATTACCCTGGTGATTCTCAGGAGAAGACACTGTCGTATCTGAATGAGCGTTTCACTTCCAGAGTAATGTATGCCTTCATCTGGCCCAGCAGTCAGCATATTGCCCTATGTTGATGGATATTGTCAGCTGGAAGCTACACTACATTTCACTGCACAATAAACATGGCTGTCAAAGCCATATAAAGTGAAATCAATTTATCCTGTATGGTCAGTGCATTTTAAATGAAATTAATGTACTGTGGGTATGGTAGCAAAAAGGTAGCATATTAGTTATGCATCTTGAGACCGGGGAGTTTCACATAAGTGATCATTCTGTCGAGTAGGCCTGAAAGAAGAACTGTTTATAAAATATGTTATTTTTGTTTGATCTTCAAAGAGTGGTCCCTTCCACTCTCTTTCATATTTAGAGGAAAAATATTCGTAATACTACCCAGGTGGGCCTTTTAATCCTGCCTTTTGTTTGTGATAAATGATGGTCATATTTGCCAAATAATAGTTCATTTTAATGTTCTAATTTATTACTAACCTTGACACAAACAAATTTCTCCTTAATCAAGATATCTAGAAATAGAGTAGAAGGGCAAAAGATTGATTATATCATGTCTTTCTTGTATAATAATGCTAACCAGCTGAAAGGACTTGCTTTTTTCCCCAGAAAAATAAAAATGTTAGGTTTAATGTGCATCTTAATTCTAGATGTTTTAGAGGGTAAGCTTTCTTGTTTATGCAGTTGGTCTTTGGATAAGGCCCTAAGTCCAACCAGTCTGTTGGCCTGTAGAAGTTTTCAATATACAGTTCATTCTACAAAGCACACATCAGTGTGTCAAACTGGTAGCAGCATGAAAACAGGAAGAGCTGTAGTTACTCATTTAGTCATCAATTAATTGCTTTAATACATTTTACTAATTGAAACACTTTGTGCCAGAAACAATATTGCATCCTAGGGATCCATCAGTATACAAGACTCACTCCCTACTTGCAAGGAGTTTTCAATCTTTTATGTTCTTGAGTCTGCCCTTATGAAATCATACAACATAAGACATTTAGACATTATTTCATAGGAGAATGTTAAAAAATGAATCTTAACAGGAAAATAAACCCCAGGGTTCTTGATATGAAAACCCCATTTGTGGGAGTTGGGGGAAACTAAGAAAAGAGAAGATAAATAATGGGCATTGCATTGGGACAGATGAAGGAAAGAACTTTTTAAAAGGAATATATGATTATACCGTTTTTGTATGACAACAGTCCAGAATAAGAGGTGCATAGCAAAGTGGACTGAGGGATGGAGGAAATGATGCAATAATGAATTAATTTTTTTAAGTCAAGGAAGGTGGTGGTGGTGGTGGTGGTGTTGCATGCTCTTGAGTCACTTGAAACAGCAACTGGGTATACCACAGCCCTAAACCCTGCTCTGTCCTATTATCTATTATTTTAAGTAATAAGATTACTTATTGTCTCTGACACAATTACCCCCATCTTTTCTGTAGAGTGCCATTAAAAATCACAATTTAAAAATTCTTTAAAAACCCATTTGTTTACTACTTTTGCACATCAATTCAAGAAATATTTATTGATTATTACATGGGAAATCCAGGGACACAAGACTGACGCAGTCACTAACTTTAAGAAGCTCAGATTTCTGGGAATGAAGTACAAAAGCTTAAGGGAGGCAGTGACCTAAACAGGTAATTTCTAGGTAGTACATAATATAGAAAAGAAAGGAATAAAAAATTCAGCCCGTGGACCATCATTGCATATGCTGTTTCTCTTGCTAAAATTACCCTTTCCATCTGTCTTGACCACCTCCTTCATTTATCTGCTGATTCCTCTTCATCTTTAGCTTAGACATTACCTCTCCTAGGAAGCATTTGGTGACCATCTTTCTAGGTACACTCTTGGTACCCTGTTTTCCTCAACATTACACTTGGAAAAATGCACTTAGAGTGCACTTTGTTATGATGATCTCTTCAAGACTTGTCTCCCCTCTTAACTCTAGTGTCTGAAAAGTAGTAGCTGTTTAGTCATCTTTGAAAGTCTAACTGCCATAAAGCCTAACTCAGAGTAATTACTCAGTTAATAGTTTTCATCGAATGAATAAAATGAAACCCACTAGTATTTTAATAGGGCTTAGAGGAACAATGGAATTTAGTGTTGTGAGAGAGCAGATGGGTCTTCCAGGCAGTGGGAAGGGCATGAGTCAAGATCTAGTGTTGTGAAAATATGAGCAAAGATAGAGTGCTTCAAGCGGTTGAGAGTTTTGGTGAATGATGTTAAAATGATAGGCTAAGAGTCAACTTTTAAAAGAAAGAACTACAGCAAGCAAGTTTTCCATAAAATAATGCCAGTCAATCCATTGCCATCAGATTGAATTGCTAATAGTAAATGTGCTCCCATTGATCATTCTGCTTAGAGTGAGACTGTAAAACAGATTAGAACTGTCCCATATGGTCTCCAGACTTTACTCTTTATGAAAATAGACACATTTTTCTCCCATGAGTGACTGGTGGATCCAAACCATAGGCCTCTCTTTGGGTTACAGCCAAATGCTTCACCACTGTGCCACCAAGGTTCCTTAGTAAATGTGCTAGTTTTGTAAAAACAAGTAAATGAATTCTGCCTCGCCTGTCTTTGAAAGCTATGTCAGAAGGCCCTGTACAACTGTCATTTGAACCTGCCTTCTGCTTCCAGGAGGTCATTTAGAAATATAAGACAAGGGCTGAGGGAACAGCTGAACCAGGCAGCAAGCTGTGTTGCATGATTCAGATAATAATGCTTTGCACCCATCTTGTTCTTCCTGCCCTGACATTACAGGAAGTAAAGCAATGAATGGCTCTGCAGCTAAACTACAGCAGTATTATTGTTGGCCAACAGGAGGTGCCACTGTGGCTGAAGCGCGAGTCTACAGGGACGCCCGCGGCCGTGCCAGCAGTGAGCCACACATCAAGCGACCAATGAATGCATTCATGGTTTGGGCGAAGGATGAGAGGAGGAAAATCCTTCAGGCCTTCCCCGACATGCATAACTCCAACATTAGCAAAATACTAGGTGAGTGCAGCAGCTGATGCTGACCTTCTACCCCGTGAATGTCCCCAGGTGGAAAGCAAGGATGTACTCAGGCTCTTAAAGGAGACGATGGTTTGCTAAAGTTAGATGTTGTTCAGGCAGCTACTGAAAGAAACCTGAAATCTTTGTTACCTCTGCACCGTTCCCAACTGTGATGTTTCGAGTTAGAAGATTATTACATCCACCAGGTGCCAGGATAGAGCTGGCGAAAAAATTATTTTAGAGACCAAACTATTTATAGTATGTGTTAATACTGGGTTTTTGGCATCCCTGAGAGGCCACTGATAAACAGGAATTATGGAGACAAGCGTTGTCTTTTTTTTTTTTTTTTGTATTGTCATCTTAGAATGATAAATTGCTAAAAAGTCAGGGAGACATTTGCAGATGCAACAGTTTTCTGCTTTAGTATCCTTGGGGTCATGTGTCCCATTAAAAGCATTCGTCAAGGCCTAGGAATGAGCCCAAAAGGGGTGTGAAATTCATGGAGTGCGGAACAGTGCCTCTAAAGATAACTTTAAAACTTATAAAATAGAGCTGCATTCACTTTAATAAGATATGACTAGTTCAGATTTCATAGCAGTGAGTTGAACGCACAGACCACAAGGCAGAGGCCCATTCTGTGGCAGTTTGCCCCAGTCGGTCTCTTGTTTCTTGGGATTAAACTCAAGCCTGGTTCTATTAGTATAACTTCTGCCTAGCGCAGATTATACAGCTTGGAATTATTGTGCTCAACATATTGAACATATTTTATTCAACATGCAGCATTACAGTCAACATGTTTCCTCTTTAAAAAGAAAAAACACAGAAGGCACTGTTCTACTTAAACTGTCGTGATGTGACAAAATCTCAAAGGAAGCCATTTCAGAAGCTGAAAAACATTAGAGATTTAAACTGTGGTTTTAATTTTTTAAATGTTTTGTTCAAAAGCAATAAATATTTAACCTGAATAAATATCAGTGATCTGGACATATACAAATACACATGTTTTGTCACTGTATAAATAATTTAACTTGAGTTTGAGACATTTTAAAGCAGTGACCACTAAAAAAATTTAAAACACACCTAAGACTCTGTAGCAGGGTTAATGTTAAAATCCAGGGTTTCTTCTCCTTTTTCTTTTTTAATTTAAAAAGAAATTTTTTTTAAAAAGTCACTAGTTATTAAGTGGGGGTTTTTTTCAGAGTTTCAGAAATATGTATAAGGATGTTATTATTTTGAATTTAAGTACCTTCCAATCTGAAATACTTCTGTCAAATATATATTATATATTTTTTATAATTAAAAGACATGCTGAAATGTCAATGATTCTCTGTCCTTAAAGCTTGATAGCCTAGCTCTAAAATTTTAATATTATTTCTGCTATTTCTGTGGCAACATGAAGCAGCTTTCTAACAGGCATAGAACCTCTCTGTTTCCATTTTGGCAGCTGTGGAGAATCTATATACTGGTATACAGTCTGTGAAAAAAATTATTAAGAATATAGTAAGAGTATTCATTAAAATGTAAACTTTTAAGTGCATACGTTTCAAGAGTACCAAGAATGTTCTGTTAACTGGGGCATTGAACTGTAGGGAGCCAGAGAAGCACAGAGATGCCTATCTATGTAGACTTTCCATATGACTTTTATACAACAATCAGGAAAGAAGAAGGATAGATGTGCTATTAAAGCAGACGGGGATATTGCTGGCTACAGAGAATATTTGTACAACTTTTCTATGTGTTTACGTATGAAAAATCTCCACTAAAGAATAGCTAACATCCAGTCAGCACAGCTGTTCCTGCTTTATTCACCAGTAAGACACAAAAATGCAATTTGATACGTGTAAAAAAACACATCCCTTCTTCTTCAAGTGTTTAGATAATTCCTTATAAACAATATTAGAGTAGTGAATACTTTTCCTTCTTCCTGTAGACACCATATTAAAAAATTTTGCAGATACCCTCCCCAAGTTACAGAGATTAGTTTCTAAGAACATCTTTAAGTCACATTTGTAGGTGGATTGGAGCAGGTGGGTAAGGTTCTTTAGCAAAAGAAAAGGGTGGACGCCCTCTTGACATAAAAGCTGCAGTGCAGCAAGTGAAGGTGATTGTAGTAAAAAAATTGTTGCAAATTGGTGTTGATTCAGTGTTAAAAAGTGAGTGCAAATTTGTGTAACTTAAAGGAAAAATACTAATTGTCTGTAAGTTGATTGTTCCTAACCTGGGGGCTAACTGCACTTTTACTGGTATAGCTTTGAAAAAAACATTTCTAGTGCTTGACAATAAACCCAAACCCACTGCCATCAATTTGGTTCTGACTCATGACAGCCCTCCATGAGATTTATGAAGCTGAAAATCCTTGTGGGAGAAGGCCGCTCCCCTTCGTCTTGATGAGCTGCTGTGGATTTCAATTTTTAGCAATCCAATACACAATAATCTATAATCAATAATGCCACCAGGTACCTCTTAGTTCTGAAGCTATAACTTGAGTAGATTTTATGTTTTTTAATTACCCTCAGCCAGGGGAGACTGTGCACAGTAGTTTTATTTATGAAAGTATGTCATCACGTGCTGACGAGTTATCAGAGGCTTCACCACAGATGGTGGTGTCAGGGCTATTTGACTTTCCAGTACCAAGAAAGCTTAGGGCTGTTGTGCATAGGGTCGCTATGAGTCGGAAACGACTCAACGGCACATAACAACAACAACAACTCCTGTTACATTAGGAAGGATGCTTGGGAAGCTTAGGTTTTCACCCTCGAGAGAGAGATTTGCAGATGACGGGAAAGTCATCAGTGTAGAAGAAGGCCTGTAAATGGCATATTGTTTTAAAATGTTATGCTTGTAATATTAGCTTTAAACTAGAAATAATACACTGCCTGTAAAGGAGTGTAGGTGGCATAGTTTATAACGTGTCAGGCTGCTAACTGAAGGGCTGTTTCAGTTACTCTTTGGGAGAAAGAGGGTCAGTCTTGTCCAATAAAGATCTACAGCCTTGACCAGTAGTCCAAACTGATTAACAGTGGAACAATGGACTTGTATTTGGGTAGAAAGTTTAAAAGAGTAGTTGAAAGACTCCGCAGTGTGGTAATAGTAGTGGGCATGGAGTGAAATACAGCAGGGTGTATTTCTATTTCCCTGTTATACATTGCCTTGGCCACTTAAAGTTGTTTTTATGTCTAGGGTCTCGCTGGAAGTCCATGTCCAACCAGGAGAAGCAACCTTATTATGAAGAGCAGGCCCGGTTAAGCAAGATTCACTTAGAGAAGTACCCAAATTATAAATACAAACCCCGACCGAAGCGCACCTGCATTGTTGATGGCAAAAAACTCCGGATCGGGGAGTATAAGCAACTGATGAGGTCTCGGAGACAGGAAATGAGGCAGTTCTTTACCGTGGGGTAAGTATTCCTGAATTTGCCCACTGGGGCCTCCGCCTTAGTAAGAAACAGCTAGTGGCAGTGTGTGTGGGAAGAGTAGGGAAGGGAGGAGGCTGGCATACTGAAGGGCTTTGGATGTGGTAATCATCGTAGTGTCATAAGCACACAGCCACACCGCAGGGCTCCTGCTGAAATCAAAACAAACTGAAGTAGCCTGCTCCCAACTTCAACAATGATCACCCCTTTCATTGTCGACCAAATTAAGCTAAGATGTTCCATGCCCACACACGGAGATTCTGGTAGTTTATTTAAACACACGGG